TGATGTAGCTGAAGCTAAACTATTAGCCTTATTAGGTAAAATAGGCTTTGTAGTTCACGCGCGTTCCAGTATCGACGGAAAAATATCATAATGAGCAAAAATATGCCACAGTGGACCGGGTCTCACGCCGAACAGCACGGTAAACGGATGCACTGTTTCCAATGAATGCAGTAGCTTAGTGTGCGCGTGGGGCGCCGGCGCGATCAAACAGCTGAAACATAAAATAGACTACTCCGTAATTTTTGGTCATACAGTAAAGGCATAATTCGAAACTGCAAAGTGCAAAGTGTTACCAGTTTGAAAATGCAAGAATAATAGCAAAGTTAATAAGAATTATTTCTAAATGCAGCACCGTTCTTATTTCGCTCTGCACAACCTGAACGAAAAAAAAAACATTTTTTTTGCTAAGAACGAACCGAAATGAAAACATTTCGCTTTTAATCTGTGTATTTAACAGCCTGGGAGACCTTCCCAGGGCAGTACCTTGCCTCACCGACTAAAATCAGGGCGCCCACTACGGAGACGGCACCAGAGGTGAGGGGGCACAGTGACCGAGGTGGCCGGGCCGGGCCCCCTCAGCCCCCCCTGTGGCGCCGACGGCCTACACCGATATAAACAATCAAATAGCTGGGATTTGCTATATAGTGCATATCGCTTCGTGAGTGTATTGTAGACTCTGCATTTAGATAAAATTGGATATACTTCCTGTATATATCCAACTTCACATATATACAGCGGTATACGTGCCTATACTCTGTGTACAGGTAAAGTGTAGGTACCACTAGGTTATATCCATCTTTAAATATATCACTAGTCAATAATATAAACAATATGTATATATATATATATATATATATATATATATATATATAGCATACATGTAATGCAGGGATTCCAAAACTTTTTATATAACATATATATAATTATTATGCATATAATTGACAGGGTTAAATTTTGTATTATATCGCTCACCCATAAACAACTAAACTAAAGATTTAATTGAAAGTCATGGCATGATACTACTTATACATAAAGCATTGTACGTAGTAGCCTATATAATATATTTAGTACCCTAGTGTATAAGCCAAAGGCAACTGTGGCAAGGCAAGAAAAAAACCATGAGAGAAACCAGGGCAGGCAACATCAAGAGTTCTCATGTGGTTACACAGTCTAAATACAAGTCAATAATTAAATAGATATTTCACTACATTGACCGAACTGTAAGATAAGGTCGTGGGAGCCTTTGACGTCCATCTAGGATTGAACTGTACTGGCTTTGTGTTATACAGAAAATAAGTCTCTCTTCCATCTCTATCACTTGCATATTATATTTATTTCTGAAATGCCATGTTTACAAAAAATAAAAATCTTCTTTAACACAAACCCGTTTATAGACAAAAGAAGCTCATAAATAAATATAATTTCCGACAATTCTCAAACATTCTGTGCTGTAAATGATACAATAATACAGAAATAATGAGAAAACATCTCTTAAAATGTTGGCCCACTTCAGAACTGGTCCAGTATCAGTGTGGCACATCCATTCTCTGTTTGAGGGTAAAATACTACAAAAGAAGCAGAGCAGAATAATTTTATAGACTAAAACACACACACACACACACACACACACACACACACACACAAATAAACATTAATGTTAAAAATTCCAAACTTTTCTCACTTTCTTTCTGCTACTGATGGCTTGCTGGATCCACAGCAGCTCCATAGCTAAAGTGCTCCGCTGCTGCTTCAGAGAGTCAAGAGTGTGTTCTGTGTCTTTAAAAACTGAATGCAAATTTGGTCCTTCCAAAACAAAACACAAACACATAAGTGTCTCAAATAAGTCCTGTCTGTTTTTTTTTTAATCTCTGTATCCTTTTTTTGGGGTCAAAATCTTTTCTCAAAGTACCTGTCTGAAATAAGCTGCTGTGGCTGACATCTGAATTCACGGTACTGCAAAGTGTAGTAGAATCATCCATCAGGTTTTGTATGACCACATTCTCTCCTCTCTTGTCCACAATACCATCCACAGGTGTGGAAGTATCTCTGCTGGCTGTTTCAGCAGCTTCGTCTCTCTCTGGTACCTGGATTTCAGACTGTGGGAGAGATTTCTCACTGCCCTCATTCTCTGTTTTCTGTTCCCTCTGAATCATCCAGACGGTCATGGGACTGAAACCTGGAGCATTCATACTGCAGCAATAGGCTTTCCTATGGATTACATTATACACATTTATCATTATGCAACATGAAGACAAAACAGTATCTGAAAATCTTAAAAGTGATAATGAAACTTTAAGGCATACTTTCTACGAGTAACAAATGAATGAAAGCTTATGATGTTTTAAAATAATAGTAGACAGAAAGAGAAATGGGCAATGACAGAGAGGCTCACAGTGTCAGTGAAGTGAGGTTTGGGAATTATGTTTCCTCTCCACTGCAGGTGATCCAATCCTCCATCAATCTCTCGCACTGTCTCTTCAAACTGAGTCCGAACCAAACTCAGACCTTTCCTCATCGTATAACCACGACACTGAGCCTGGAGAGGACGCAATATTAGCTTTACTTTCCTGATACTGCGACTAAACTAAGCTCTAGTCATGTTGATTATAAAGCACAAAAAACAGAAGTGTTGACGAAACAGTTGACAAAAGCAAATTTCATAGCAATCTATTAAATTGAAAAGAAAAAAAATGAATTGATTGAAAAAAACAGACACCCCAGGACTAAGGAAAATCAGATAAACTCCAACCATTTTATAAACAAATGAAAACAATGAACTTGGTGATTGTAAACAAACACAAACTTTCAACGTACCCAGGTTCTTTTCCGACACAGGGCAAAGTAATTTACTTATAAAATATTTACAAAAATACATGCACACTTGAGGATCTCCAGTGATAATAAAAAAATACCTGAAATCGAGTTAACGTCTGTATCCATTTCTGTTCGTTCATAGCGCCGCTTTGTTTGAACGGCTGACACCGACACACACTGTGTATTTATTTCTTCCCCTGTAAACAGATCGAGGAACAGATTCGCCTGCAGCTCAGTACCGCCACCCGCTGTTTGAAAGAGATTTGCTGTAATGCAGTACCGTTAATCACTCTACAACATGTTTTAATTTATTGGATAAAATATTAGGCTTTTTATTTAGTTTGGTCTTCTTATAGCACAAATTGGTAAAAATAGAGTTAAATAATAAAACAACAAATGCTACTTTGGTTTGAGTGCATTGCCATGTCTCTTGGTGCTTCTAAACTTCTAACCTAACAAGGAAACTAACAAATTATTTAAAAGATTCATTAAAGATTTTTATGTCACATACATGGTTATATAGAACACACACACACACACACACACACACACACAAATAAACATTAATGTTAAAAATTCCAAACTTTTCTCACTTTCTTTCTGCTACTGATGGCTTGCTGGATCCACAGCAGCTCCATAGCTAAAGTGCTCCGCTGCTGCTTCAGAGAGTCAAGAGTGTGTTCTGTGTCTTTAAAAACTGAATGCAAATTTGGTCCTTCCAAAACAAAACACAAACACATAAGTGTCTCAAATAAGTCCTGTCTGTTTTTTTTTTAATCTCTGTATCCTTTTTTTGGGGTCAAAATCTTTTCTCAAAGTACCTGTCTGAAATAAGCTGCTGTGGCTGACATCTGAATTCACGGTACTGCAAAGTGTAGTAGAATCATCCATCAGGTTTTGTATGACCACATTCTCTCCTCTCTTGTCCACAATACCATCCACAGGTGTGGAAGTATCTCTGCTGGCTGTTTCAGCAGCTTCGTCTCTCTCTGGTACCTGGATTTCAGACTGTGGGAGAGATTTCTCACTGCCCTCATTCTCTGTTTTCTGTTCCCTCTGAATCATCCAGACGGTCATGGGACTGAAACCTGGAGCATTCATACTGCAGCAATAGGCTTTCCTATGGATTACATTATACACATTTATCATTATGCAACATGAAGACAAAACAGTATCTGAAAATCTTAAAAGTGATAATGAAACTTTAAGGCATACTTTCTACGAGTAACAAATGAATGAAAGCTTATGATGTTTTAAAATAATAGTAGACAGAAAGAGAAATGGGCAATGACAGAGAGGCTCACAGTGTCAGTGAAGTGAGGTTTGGGAATTATGTTTCCTCTCCACTGCAGGTGATCCAATCCTCCATCAATCTCTCGCACTGTCTCTTCAAACTGAGTCCGAACCAAACTCAGTCCTTTCCTCATCACATAACCACGACACTGAGCCTGGAGAGGGCACAATATTAGCTTTACGTTCCTGATACTGCGACTAAACTAAACGAAGCTATAAGAACTTAATTCTGTTGATAAAAACAGCAGACGGACTGTAAGACTAAAACGCTAATTTCATAGTAATCTATTAAATTCAAAAGAAAAAGATGAATTGATTGACAAAAAAAAAAAAACAGACACCTCAGGACTAAGGAAAAAAATCAAATCAACTCAATCAAATAAAAAGAAAATCATATAAACAAATGAAAATATTGAACTTCGCGACTGTAAACAAACACAGGTACTCATCCGATACAGGGCTAAATAAGTTACTTATAAATTACTGACAAGAAATTCATACACATTAACTTTAGAAACGTAATCTCTAATGATTATAGTAATAATAATAAACAATACCTGCAACCGAGTTATTGCCTGAATCCATTTCTGTTCGTTCATAGCTCCGCTGTTTGAACAGCTGATTGTGTCTATTTCTTCCCCTGTACAGACCGAGGAACAGACTCGCCTGCAGCTCCGTACCGCCACCTGCTGTTTGGAAGAGGTTTTAAGAATAAGGTCGTTTCCGTAGCACTCCCCAAAATAAGCTCTTAGTTTGTTCTTCTTTTAGCATCATTTAGTGAAAATAGAGGTAAGTAATAAAACAAAAATCAATACTTTGGTTTGAGCGTATTGTTGCCTTGTCTTAGGTTGCTTCTAAACGTGTAATATGGAAACGATGGAAACTGACAAATCATTAAAAAATATTTCAGATGTTTCCTTTATCCAAACCAAAATGCTTTAAATAAAACTAATAAAAAACTTTAAATAAAACAAAACCTGTCTCCAATGTCATATTTTTAGTCTTTTGTAATATTCTTTTAATTAACAAAAGGTATTTTGATTTAAATGTTGCTATTTATTTATTTTTTTACATTTTTACAGCTTCTGTGATTTTTATTCAACAAACTGCTTACCTATAACTCAATGACCCATAACCGCACTAAAAGTCCAAAGTCAGTGAGTGAATTGTTGCATTGTTTTATTACTTAAAGCACACAAATAGAAAATAGTTTATATGCATTGTTAAACAAAACAAGACATGGACAAAAAGCAAAGCACACAAATATTTTCTTTTTGAAATTCACACAAAGAATACAAACATAATTTTTTACATGATTCTTTCAATGCTTTAGACTCAGGCAGTGAGGGAAGAGAAAACGGCCTGTACATGCTGATGCAGGATCAGATCCTGGCATGAATCAATCTGATATCAATTTAAACAGACCTCCCTCAAGGCAACAGTACTGATTCTCTATTGAAATAGCTGGAGGTAGGCGTAGCGGAGGTCGGCTGTAAAGTGATATTACTGCATCATGAAATATAAAAATCAAACTGGTGTAGATCATTTGCTTTTCCTTAAACCTGTCCATATGTTGTGCTGATGGTTTATCACTGAAACTGGTGTAAAATGGGAAGACTCTGGGAAGGATGTTAGTGAGGTTGTACTATGTATTATGGACTATGTCACAGTTTTTTGCAGTAGTTTTGTCCTACAGCCACTGTAGCTTGTCAGAACCTCCTGACCTGTACTCTGTTCTTTTGTGCTTTGGGGTAGAGACTGCAAATCTACAAGGTTCAAATACAATCTTGTGCTCCAAGAAATGGACAAATTCCACCGGTCAACTCATCTCTAATTCTAGAATCACCCAAATAGTACTGGATGTCAACTTTTTAGAACCTGAAATTTGAAATGCCGGACTCCATTATGTTTTTACTTTAGTTTATGCAAAGATAACACACATATACTGTACATTTCCATCAGTGCCATCAAGAATAACAAATAACTTCTATCATAATCGTTCTCAGATCAACTTTAAATAGCTATTTAAAACTCTAGTTTACAAACAAGTTATATAAGGTATATACAAGGTATATATTTTAATGTACAAACATCTACAAAAAGATCCAGTTCCATCATTTGGAGAGTCCCATGAAAACTTTACGGTAAAACAATCAATGTAATCTAGACAGTGAGAAGAGGCACTAAGATCACTGATCTCAAAACAGTCCTGAGTGAGTTTATAGCTACTCCACAGCCATTTATAACATCATTTCAGAGAACACTGATGAACTACAAAATGAAGATCAATTGTGTATGTGCTGATTGACTGATAATGTAAATGTTCATCTTCTCATTCACTTTGACATGGTTGATCTAATAATTCTAGATATCAATTTTTAATGAAAAAACTGAGTCAAACTTTACCAGTAATGAATAAACCTTTGAAATTAACTCATGCAATCTCTAAAGTAAGAACAATTATTATTTATCCAAATAAACCACTTAAAGGCATAGTTCACCCACAAATTAAGATATTTTTGGTGAAATCTGAGAGCTCTCTGACCCTCCATAGACAGCAAGGGAACTACTACGCTCAAGGGCCAGAAAGGTGGTAAGGACATCGTTAAAAATAGTCCATGTGACATCAGTAGCTATGTTTCCATCCAAAGATGTGAATTTAACATATGCGCAAAACTGGAATATCGCATAAAGCATTTGCGAATAAAGCACCGTTTCCATCCAACGAGTCAAAGAGAACAAAGTCGTCACTTCCTGATAAACTGGCACTAAATATCTCTAAGAAAACTAGGAGAAGCCACTGAATATAATAATTTTCATATGTAATAAATTACTTGCGCTTCAGAGAGAGCAGACATAACACAATAAATGCGGTCATTGCTTTTAGAGGTAGATGCCTGCTGTTTGGGAACGCACTCATGTAAGACAGTAATTACACAGAAATACTTTGATGACAGACTTTCCTCAGGCATTTCAGAACGACCAAAACAGCATATAGATGCTGTGAACGAGATCGGTCTGCTGGTTAGTCAATTTATCCCGTCTCATAGCGCAAAGTCATATGACTTTTTCAATGCGCATGGTGGAATTTATTCGGTACATGTGTTTCTATCGTAGTTTATGCGCATTTTTAGAATGTATGTGCATCTTGGCGTTTCCATCCAGCGTTTTTTTATGCGATAATCCAAAATGCATAAAAATAGAAATAAAATAGGTGGATGGAAACATAGCTATTGGTTCAACCTTCATTTTATGCAGCTACGAGAATACTTTTTGTGCGCAAAGAAAACAAAAATAACGAATTTATTCAACAATTTCTTCTCTTCCACTCAGTCTCCGCCGCCATTCAGGAGAGTACCACAACGCATGCGTGTGCATTCCTCTGCTTGTAAACAAGGCTCAGAACATGCATGTTCTACGTCAGAACGCCGGCTCCTGCGTCAGCAGCACCACACGTATGCGTCATGGTACTCTTGTGAATGGCGGCGGAGACTGACCGGAAGAGAATAAATTGTTGATTAGAGTTGTTATTTTTCTTTTCTTTACGCTCAAAAAGTATTCTCATAGCTTCACAAAATTAAGGTTGAACCACTGATGTCACATGGACTATTTTAACGATGATAAAAATAGAAATAAAATAGGTGGATGGAAACATAGCTATTGGTTCAACCTTCATTTTATGCAGCTACGAGAATACTTTTTGTGCGCAAAGAAAACAAAAATAACGAATTTATTCAACAATTTCTTCTCTTCCACTCAGTCTCCGCCGCCATTCAGGAGAGTACCACAACGCATGCGTGTGCATTCCTCTGCTTGTAAACAAGGCTCAGAACATGCATGTTCTACGTCAGAACGCCGGCTCCTGCGTCAGCAGCACCACACGTATGCGTCATGGTACTCTTGTGAATGGCGGCGGAGACTGACCGGAAGAGAATAAATTGTTGATTAGAGTTGTTATTTTTCTTTTCTTTACGCTCAAAAAGTATTCTCATAGCTTCACAAAATTAAGGTTGAACCACTGATGTCACATGGACTATTTTAACGATGTCCTTACTACCTTTCTGGGCCTTGAGGGTGGTAGTTCCCTTGCTGTCTATGGGAGGGTAAGAAAGCTCTCAAATTTCATCAAAATGTCTTAATTTGTGTTCCGAAGATGAACGAAGGTCTTGCGGGTTTGGAACGACATGAGGGTAAGTAATTAAATGACAGAATTTTCATTTTTGGGTGAACTATCCCTTTAAACACTGCAACAAAAAGGGTGCGATTAAGCTTTTAGGCTCAAAAATCATTGGAATTATTATAATTTAAATGCTAAGATCAAAACATTTAAAAAAGAAGAAGTGCCATTTTTGCAGTTGAATTTCGTTTACATGCGGAATGTGCTTTGATGCTGTTGCCGTCACTTAGCATTGCATTAGCCACAGATCACGATGATGCTGCTTCAGTAACTTGCAGTTGAGTTGTAGCCATGGCAACTTGGGCTTTGGTCAGCACATTGATTTGATGGTCAGCTGGATTTGGTTTCCCGCTTCAGGTGCTGGAGGTCTTGGGTAAGTCTTGATTTTCCGCCAGGTGGAGTTTCTGTCTGGATAAACTGCATTAAGGGGATATGCATTGCTAATGTACATCTAATGTACAAGCTCTGGAGCTCCTATTACATATAAAAATGCTGACTTTAGCATTCTTCCTGCACATATGTTGGATATATCCATTAGGCTTCTATTAGGGCACAACTGATCTTAAGCTAAGATGTTTTGAGAAACACAATCCCTGCTTTTACTGAAACTAAAACGAAAATGATTAGCTGAGAGCAGTGAGAGCTTTCAGTGTAACACAAACCCTTTCTGGATAAACAGAAATCCTGGGAAAACACAATGTAACATTTGAACAAAAACATTTACTTGACCAGAGTTGCTTAAGCTTAAAATATCTGTTAAATTCAATAAACACTGTATTTCACTGATTAATGTCAGAAGTAAAGTAAAACGCCATATTTAAACGCATGCAAAACATAATATGGAAGGATACATTGAGCTGCTCAATTCTTCCAGCTGAGAAGAGGAAAAACAGAGATGCATTAAAAAAAAAATCAATATAATTGCTGCTGCTTTAAAAAGACCAATCTATAATTGCTGAGTTGACAGATTCAGTATAGAAACAGACTTCAAACAATGGGTTATTTTGGAATTCTGCCTGTATGTTAACAAAAACCATGATGATTTGTGTTGTACAGGCTGTCCTTTTTCAAAAATTACAAACTGCACTGCAGAAATGCTTTTCCTTACACCATGCCCTAACAGTATACTAATTTAATATATCCTAAATTGTTTATTTCTGTGTGTTATAAAAACCTATTTTCTATCACTTGACTTCTGTGAATTCCTGGACACCAATTTTATAATACATGGGTGAATTTCATGAACATGTCCAGGTCACATTTTACAAACAAACAATAAATAAATAAATCTTTAATTTAATAATTAATTTAATATTTATTAAGATGTTTTGCATCCCAATATTAATTACTGTAGTACAATAATATCTAAACAAATATTGTATGAATACAACATTAATATTGTTATAAATAAATATGTATTATTTACATTTAGACTTTTTGGGGGGACATTTTGCAAAAGTCTTAATAGTCCTAAAATAAGCTTTATGAAAAAGTGGGGTAAAACATGACCTTTCTTAAGATTCAACTATATACACTCTGTTATACTAAGTGAACCACCCATAATGAATCTCTCACACACACACGTACACTCTCACATACTCCAATCTGCTGAGTTCTCTACAACATACCACTGAGCTGACAGCTAGAAGGGAAATACTATCAATAGTAACTGTCCAGCCCCTCACAGGCTGATGAAAGAATTCAGTCAGACAGCGACACTTAGATTTGGATGATAATACAAGATTCAACCAGAGGCCTGTATTCAGATACAGGGTACTATTGTGTCCAGTCCTTTAGTATCTGTGTGTGAGAGAGTGCTTGAATAGTGGAGAGAGAACAAGTAGACTGGTGTTCCATATCCATTAGATCCAGATTCCACTAAAGTGTGTGTGTCTACTGTAATGAACAAATATAAACTGGTGGGAGAATGAACGTCTGTGGTTTAAGGTTCAGTATGCATACATAAAGAGATTAGGGCTGCACGATTTGGGGGAAAAAATGAATTCTGATCTTCTGATTAAAATTGCGATTAAGATTTAAAATAAGATTTTTTTAAAAGTTCCAGGTTTGCTGTGCTTGTTTGTAGGGCTGCACAATTTGGGCAAAAATGCAGTGATTATTTATCAGCATGACAAAAAAAAAATATTTAAATCTGATAATCACACTAAGCCATATCACAATTCAGTTTTATTTAGATTAATTGTGCAACCCAACAAGAGATGCATTATAAAAGAAGATTAAACAATATCTTACATTAGAAAGCAAGTGTTCTAGATTGCGGTCCGAAGCATTTTTTCTCTGGTCTTCAGACAGCTCCTCCACATGACTATCCAGACTGAAATGCAGCCGGGCCAGACGTTCCTGCATCTCCCTCACATGCTCTAGCTGCTCAAAGGAGCACACCTTACCTGCAAACACACAGTGTTACACGCATGGAAAGTGAGGCAGTACCTTTCTAGACTTACTAGACTAAACAAATCTCAATCAACCCGCTGATGAATTAGGTGGTGTAAAGGTGCCACCCTTACACGCCTTTGCATTCCTTAAAAGTGTCTCAACAGTTAAGACTGCAAAACAATTCTAATGACATCCCAAACTACTAAGGCTTCTGAATAAAACCCTAGCACGTACCGAAAGCCTGTAGTTTTCCAGAGTGAAAGTCATTGAGCAGGTTGAGCAGTCCTCCCTCCATCTCTCTCACATCAGAGACGTCGGTGAGGAATGAGTGCTGGAGTGGTGAGGAGGACTGGGACACTCGGCTGGGTCCGGCAGGCTGAGGAGCTCTGGGTTTCTCTCTGTGAGGCCTACAAATGGAACCAGAAGCACAATTTGTGGCACAATTTGGAAATGCCAATTACAAACTCAAGCATCTTTGATCTATAATGACACACAAACCTTGTGTTTTTTGGGGGGACCACAGGAACAGCGACAGCATCTTTAGAAGGACCCATTGCCCCTACCGATCTCTTGTACTTGCCTCTGGGTTTGGGGGAGGGGGGCTGGGGTAAACCCAATGAGAATGTGGCGCTTTTACTCGCTGGGAGAACAGAGAGCTTTCGAGGGTTGATTGGTGGAGGAGGAGGCTGGGGAAGGGACACTTTGGGACTCCTTTTCTTCCTCTTGTCTTCCATGAGGGCAGTGATACTTTCTAAGACACACAGACAAGAGCTCTAAGCTACGGAGATGTATGAAAAAACAACATGAGCTGATCCTAAACTAGTGGAATACATAGTGTGTTATTCCTTTCAAAAGGCACCACATGAAATTGCAAAAATATTGTTATATGAACTAGTGTTACCGAAACACTGCCACTATTGTAAAGTAATCTACTTTAATTGGAAAAGTTACTTGTTTAGGCTTTCTGCTTTGGGTGCGGTGGAAAGGCAACCAGGAGCACAATATAATAATAAGGGCCTCTACAGAGACAGATTAAATACTGTGGGGCCCTAAATGTGAAGGTTTGTCCCATGCTTCAGTCTTGTTGGTATCACTGCACTAAAGTCAATTTCAGCTTTGTAGCAAACAGATTTCAACCATTACAGCAGGTCAGTGAGAGCCTGTGCTAAATATTCACAAGATATGCAGCAATTATTAATATCTGACCTTGAGCTGCTAACAGATGGAATGGAAAATTCAATGCTTTGTGCGACTGCATGAAGCCATGTTGACAATATCATGCGTAACATGCTTAAATGTAACTAGTGAAGGTAAAAAGACATGCCTTCTTATCATCCTATTTAAGATGGAGCCCGATTTACAGTCCACCAAACTTTATGGATAAAGTAATCCTCTCTGTCATTTTCTGCTTTATTTATTCTCCTGTTCTGTTTCTCACCCTGCAGTAAAGAAAAAGTGTTATCAAGCCGTGCTCTAGTGCTGAAATATTTTTAGATGCTTCAGATCTCTCTGGGACTCTCGGATGACTGCTGTCCATCCGCCAGGGATACGATGATATATGTCTACCATCAGTTTCTTTTTTTAATTCCAGTAATTTTTATATATACTTTGTTAGTGCAAGCATACCAATATTCAACATTGTTTCTTAGAATATGCAACTAACTGGGTCAGGTAACTTCAACTCAACCATCTTTATCTAAAAGTAACAGCTGTAAGTATATCACTGACATTTTAGAAAATCGGACAGTTTAAAGAAAATCAATGTTTTGAATAAAAGCATTCAACTGTATGCCTATTATTTAAGTCCTTATATTTTGGGGTAAAAACTATTAATTCTATATCAATGGTAGATCATAGACGTATAATAAATTAGATTCTATAAAAAGATTGTGTGTGTGTGTATGTGTATGTATGTATGTATGTATATATATATATATATATATATATATATATATATATTATAGAATCTAATTGTAAATGAATATGTGAATCGTACATATATGTACTGTATATTATAGACTGTATATTATAATAGCCATTCCCGCGTAAGATTGTTCATTGCCAAAGAGCGCTGAACAATCTGGGTCAATCATGGTGCTTTTAGATGAATAATCAGCCACAAAATCTCAATTTTAAAGAATGCACTTTAGTTTACAAAACTAAATACGAACAATTGCGTCGTCTTGTATTGTTATTTGATGCTAGTCTATTCTTTTTTTTTTTTTTTTGCAGTTGTAGAATCTTAGCGTATGACTTGATTTGTGTATCAGTGCAAGACCTAATACGTTTTTCATTTGGCGAAGAGGTTTTACATATAATGGCAGGGATTTGCACAGGATGTTAGGAGGCACGACGTGCACATCGTCATATGGCTGAACAAAACGATTTACTCACCGGCTCGCGGACAAGGACGAGGCTCTTCGAACTTTTCAACGCAAATTTAAGGCGCCCGTGTTGTTTTTTCCATTCCAATAACGCAGGATTTATACGTGGTCCGTTTTAACAGCAGAGACCAAGCGCTTGCCGTTTCCAGCGTAGCTCTCCTGCTTCCCGACCGCGATTCTGCGATTAGTACTATGGTGAAGCTTGGTTATTAATATTAATAAGACACGCTTTTGTTATTGGACGGCATTAAAGTAGCGTCACGATTATCTAATTAATATTCAAGAGCCAAGCCTCAGCAATGGGTATGCTTCTGAGCAACATTAAAATAACAACGATTAATATTAATGAGCTGGACCGTCGCCATACTAAGAACGTAATCACAATACGACGCGAGCTGAGCTCGTTTAAAGAACCTCAGACTAATTATTAAAACCTCATCTCACAGCTGGCTATTTATATAGCGGCTTTTAATAAGCCATTATATACTACAAAATGAAATGGCTATGTAAATATCTGTATTCATTATAGTCAACCGTTGACCGAAATCTGTTTGTCACCATCTAGTGGCTTATGGTAACGTTACCTAAATGATAAACCTAAGAATGTCAAGAGATGATGACAAAACTAGTACTTGCCACTGATCTATACGTCTATATAATCTCTATTATAGAGAAGTTATACTTACTTGTTTTTAAATGGTATTTGATTCAAAATAAATAAACGTTACATTAAACTATAAAGAAAAAAATGATTTTGTTTTTAATTCATGAATGTCCTTTAAAAGAAAACTTCAGAGACCCAGACAGTACAAAAATATGTTTCCTTTTTATTTCATGGCAAGTCAGAACAGACCGAAATACACTTGTAGAAAAAATAAACAACCCTCATGCATGTTTTCTGCACATCTGTGATGACTGACAATAATTTATCCTTGTCTAACTGACTTTCTGATTGGAGGCACTGGCTGAATACGAATACGCTTTTCCCAGAACTATTCTGTCTCTGAGCAGTTTGAAAAAGGCATAATAATTACTGAATAATATTAGAGCTAATGATATTGTCTGATGCCACTTCTCTGAACACACCAGTGAATATAGCTGGTAGAATATCATTGCACCTTCCAGGATTATAAGAATGTTCAATATTCGAAGAGGTTTGTTGAAGAAAAACTGTTAAAAGAAAGGGGGAAAAAAGAGGGGAACAGTGGTTATTGCAATATAATTCCCGTGAATACATTATTAATTATTTGTAATATTTCTAAAAACATTTCCATTCAAACTTGTTCTGAAAAACAAAGCACTTTCTGTTTCAGAGTTCGTCTACAGCTTATACTTACATAAAAACGATAATGCGAGACATCTGAGGGAACTGCTACATTATAATGGCCCATGGCCTTATAAACATTTTTACTGTGTTTGACCAAAACTCCTTGTGGCCACATATACTCTTCTGTCCATCTGTAGGAAACAGAAGAAGAAAGATATTACACCTTACAAAAAAAAAAAAAAAAAGTTCAGAAAGCCCAAAAAAACACTCCACATAAAAACAAAGCATTATGACACAATTTAAGAACATTACATGCAATAAATAAATAAATAAATAAACAATACATTAAAAAAAATCAAATTAATTCAATGAGATAATATTATTTAGCAAAAACAGGTTCAAATCAATATGTACAAAAAAATCTGTTCTAGTTGTGATTTTTGAAAAACAATGCAGGTAAAACAAAAATCATGTTTAAAAATGATAAAAAAAATAATAATAATTATTACAAAAAAAAAAAATTCAAATTAATTTAATGTGCTATAAATAAATGTGTTGTTGACGGCAACACCCAAGATCAAATGAACATGTTGAAACATGCAACACAATGCAGGTATTCTTTTAAGGCTAAGTGCACATCAGACTGTGTACAAGAATTGAAATTAGGCTTTTTTGTAAATGCATTTGGAATGATTTAGCACCTGCTATACTTGCATTTTAACCAAAACCCAGCAAAGACACACACAAAAAAACCTAACACAACCTAAATTTATGCCATTTCTATTTCCCCAGTTCAGACGTACATGTGTTGGAGGACGTTTGAGCAGAGGGAAGGGTCCACCTTCTGCCAGCAGCCCAGATGAGCAGCAGCTTTGTGGAGCAGGTCACAGTAGCGGGGAGGTAACAGGTGCCGCATCAGAATGATAGAAGTACTGACGGACACCAGGATGAACAGCTCACAGGACCAACATTTATCTACATATTGTGTGCTCTATATACAAAGAAAAATTAAGAAAGAGTCATATGCATGAACGTAAAGCAATTCTTCAGGTCTAAGACAAAATCTTCAGGTCTAAGACAAAATGTGCTGTGCCATGTATAACACAGTAGCACACAAATCTTTATTTTTTATAAATTAATACTTTTATTAGACAATGACTAATTTGATAAAAGTGACGCCAAATTAATTTAACATTACAAAAGTTCTCTATTTCAAATAAATGCTTTTTTTTTTTTTGTACTTTCTACTCAGCAAAAATCCCTGAAAAAAAATGCATTATTTCCATAAAATATGAAACAGCACACCTGTTAATATTGATTGATATTACAAACATATAACATTGATAATATTAAGAAATATTTATTGAGCACCAAATCAGCATATTAAAATGATTTCTGAAGGATCATGTGACACTGAAGACTGGAGTAATGATGCTGAAAATTCAGCTTTGCCATGACAGGAAAAATATACATTTTAAAATGTATTAAAATAGAAAACAGTTATTTTAAATTATAATATTTCACAAAATTACTATTTGCACTATATATTTGATCAAACAAATGCAGCCTTGGTGAGGATTACAGACTTCTTTCAAAAACATGAAAAAAATCTTACTGAACCCAAATATTTGAACAGTACTGTATTATAAGCAATAAGCATTCTAAGAAAATATAACTGCCATATAACTGATGATTCATCAGTTGAACATGTTGGCATGTTCTTTTTAATACAACAAACGATTACACAAAGTACATCCAGAATAGGGCTGCACGATAAACCGCATGCGATATTTAACGCGCATCTTATCAGTAAAGCCGGTTCTGTAATCAGCGGTAAATCTCCATCACCTGCGGGCTTTCACATTGAGCAGCATTAACAACACAGAGCCGTTGTTCACTGACGAGTTGCACAAAACCACGTTCATGATGCTAAAACCAAAGTTTTGCATTGAGGGCAGATAGAAAGCCATAAAAATAATATCTGGAAGAATAATTTGCATGTATTGGTTTAAACACCAAGTATGATTTTTGCCTACAGCCAATCTGATCTGAATTTACAGACTAATTACACATGAATCACCAGTTCTTCATCAACCAAACCTGGGGGGTATTCCAGAATGCTGGTTATGTGACATACCCGAGTATGTTTAAAGGGGTCATATGATGCGATTTCAATTTTTCCTTTCTCTTTGGAGTGTTACAAGCTCTTGGTGCATAAAGAAGATCTGTAAAGTTGCAAAGACTTAAGTCTCAAATAGTCTTTATAAAAGTTAAGAGTCAACCACGCCTGGAGCTGATCCGTGCTGGTCGCTGAGGAAATACATCAACCGGATCGGCTTTCACCGTGGACTAAGTGGAGTCCAGCCCAGGGTCGTCACATGTGGTTGCCGCAAGCCCGCCAGATGCTTCTTCGTCGAATCCGCCGGCCACGCCGTTCTCAAGCCCGCCCGCCTCTGCTCATTCAAGCCGGCCTCCGCTCACTCTAGGCCGCCGCTCACTCTAGCCCACCGTGTGTGATGCTGTTTCGTTGTGAAAGCGAAACTACTTTGTTTGGCCTTCCAAAAGTATGTGGAAAATAATGTGTTTTTTTAACCTTAAACCGCATAAACACATTTCATTACACCAAATACACAAAATAATGTTCTTTTTAGCAACATCATATGACCCCTTTAAGGGTAAGTAAGCAGATAAACTCAGTTTTCGGTTCCAAAAACGGAGGTAACTCTCAGGGTACCCATAATAAGGGACTGCCAGTGAAAGGCTGTTGCACACATAAAATGCAACCTTTTTATTCTGACAGTGTATGATTTATATTAACATTACAGAATAGAACATGATCAATATGAACTTTTAACATTCAATTTAAATAAATAATTGCACAAACTATGTAGTCTACCATTTCAATTGGTTTATTGTGAAATAACTCAAACATATGTTTATTCTGCCCTCATTGTTCTGGGCTGCCGTTCACAAAACCATCGATGCTTTCTTATGATACTTTTGGGAAAAGCAGCCCTGTTTGAATGCGCTGTCAGAAGTGAGTGAACACTCTCTGTGATTGATTGGTTCTGTCTTGCAACATTTGCGTGTGTTCAGATGAGCAGGAAAATAGTTCTATCCTACACAATTATTCACTAACACAGGTCATTCGTCCAATTCAATACATATTTTTTGTTAAATAAACAAAATCACTGGTAAATAAAACACCTTAGTATACTTCAGGATCGATACGCCCATCCCTAGTGAACATACTCTGAACTGAATGAACTTACTCCCGAACGCGTTTTTGGAACCAGCATACCTCGAGTAAGCAAGGTTTGGGTTAACCAACCGAGAGTTCAGGGTATATATGAAGGTAAGCTAACCTTGCTTTCTGGAATATCCCCGTTCTCTCAGTCCACACAGTATATGTGTGTTTATGCACAAAAGACCACCTGTCGATGCACTCACCTTGACGAACCAAACAGGTACGAATGCAACGTAGTAGGCGCTGAGCATGGAGCTAACCAACACCTCCTTCATCCTCCAGTTGAAGTCCATCTTCAGGTACTCCACTTCTTTGCGGATGAGGTCAGGAGAGAGACAGCAGGCGTGGGTGGGTATGGGTTGAGCACTGTACAGCTGACTCGTGTGCTGTTTCCATGTTTCCCTCAGGACGGACAGATAGTCCCGTCCCCCACGGCCCAAAGCAGCACTGCTCACCTCTTTAGAACTCATGCTGCCTAATGGGGACATGGATCCAGCCCTCCGGAAGTCACAGCTGAGTCGGAAGAAAGGGATGTACATTCCAAACCTGAGAGGGAAAGATAGATAAGCATGTTGAAACATTCTAATTTGTCTAAATTAATTACAAATATTACAAAATAGATAACTATGACTGTAAATTCTGACAGGATGACTCAAATCCACT